CCTCACACTTGCACCTCTGTTACTGCATTCACCAAAAGCTGTCTTTCTGACGCTCTCTCCAGAGCTGCATAGACTACTTACTAACTTACCTTTCCTCGGTACTGAAAAGACCCTGCCTTGGACGGTTTGTTTCAGTAACAGAAAACAGACCAATATATTGACATACTATAAACATTAAGTCTTCCAATCTATTACTCTGTTCTCCCTTTCCAGTTAGACATCCTGCAATTTTGGCAAGTTTACCGTTTATTGGCAAAGTTTATTGTAATAAAGTTTTGGTGTTTATTTGTTCTGAGCCCTAGGTTACTAGGCATGCTTATTCTTACTTTATAGTACTTCTATTTTTATTTTCATAGTTTAATAATTACTGAAAGTTTTGTGTACAAGAATTGCTAATATGGGTGGCATTTAATTTTTTTCCAATTTTAAATTGTTCACTTCTAGAAGACAGTATTCAACCCAAAGCTTTCATACTGACTATATACCAAAATTCCATTAAATTTACATATTCTTCCTAATAACACCATTAAGATTCCTTTGAATTTTCAATGAGATCTTTCTAAGTATACTAGGTTTTACTTAACTTTTTCCAATGTATGTATTATTTGACTGCCTTATTGGTTTACTTCTGGGGAGCCCTCTGGACTAATCCTGAGGAAAAGGAGTGAGAAGGCAGAGATGCAAGCTGGGAGAGGCTCAGGGTAAAGATCTACATATTGAATTTCAGGACAGACAGGACTACATAAAAAAAGACCCAGACACACAGACACACACACACACACACACACACACACACACACACAATCTATCTATGTTTACTGACTTAAAAAGAAATTTGGACAAAGTTTCTAACCTACACTGAAATGTTTTTCATGTAACCAAAGTTTGGGTTCACAGATTTTTGTCTAAGTTTTATCTGTTTCCTTTCTTAGTCTCAATCTTTTTCCTTTTTAATTTAATCCTTTTTTTTTTTTTTTTACTTGTTTGTTCTGTGGTGCTAAGCATACACTCTGCCACTGATTTTTTCTAACAACTTTGGTTAGAAGCTTCAAGAATTATTTTAGACCCCTCTCTAAGAAATATTTTTTTTAGGGGGCGTGGGGGTAGGGTTTCATGACAGGGTTTCTCTGTATAGCTCTGGCTATCCTAGAACTAACTTGTAGACCAGGCCAGCCTCAAACTCAGAAATCTGCCTGCCTCTGCCTCCCAAGTGCTGGGACTAAAGGCGTGTGCCACCACTGCCCGGCTCTAAGAAATACTTAATGTCATAAACATTGCACAAGCTGAGCTTCAGTTTCACACCTAATGTCTTGTTAAGGGTCCAGAGCAGAGTTAGCACTCCCAGAGACATCACTAAGCCCACACAAGTGAGTCCTTTCCAAGACACGGTGACAGTAGCACTATGGACTAGCCAAAACCTCTGACAACTACCAGTTAGAAATGCATTTATAGGGCTGGTGAGATGGCTCAGTGGTTAAGAGCACTGACTGCTCTTCCAGAGGTCATGAGTTCAAATCCCAGCAACCACATGGTGGCTCACAACCATCTGCAATGAGATCTGATGCCCTCTTGTGGGGTGTCTGAAGACAGCTACAGTGTACTTATAATAAATAAATAAATAAAGTTTAAAAAAAAAAAAAAAAAAAGAAATGCATTTATAATGCTATCAATTCAATACAAATACCTTTACATACAAAAACATATCAGTAGAATAAATTTCAGCATCAGTAATAGCACAGTGGTTACATATACATATTGCTACTTTCCCTGCTTCAAGACTTGTAAACTGATAATTATCCCTACACACAATACACATCGTACCAATGGGTCAGAGTGAAACACTTTTCTACCTCTCCTTTAGGCACTAATTTATCTTTATAAATTAAGATAAATTCCAGGAATTAGAGTGGTAAAGGAGCTGTCTAAAACATAAATCCTAGGTTTAAATTTCTTTTTTTGAAATTTTACTGCTATAGCTAGCTTGACTATAATCTTCTAGTTAAGTCTCAATTCTCAATTATGGTGCAGGTTAGCTGTATGTCAACTTGATACAAAGTCATAGTCATTTTAGAAGAAGGAACCTCAATCAGAACAATGCCCCCTACGAGATTACCCTGTGGGTAGGCCTTCTGATTGATAGGTCTGGGGGTTGAGGGGGACACACAGCTCACTGTAAACAGTGCCACTCCTTAGGCTGGTGGTTCTGGGTTCTATAAGAAAGCAGCCTGAACAAGCCATGGGGAACAAGTCAGTAAGCAGTACCTCTCTATGGCCTCTGCATCAAGTCCTGCCTCCAGGCTCCGGTCCTGTTTGAGTTCCTGTCCTGACATCAGTGATAGACTATGATGAGGAATTGTAAGCTGAAAAAGTCTCTCCTTTCCAAGTTGCTTTTGGTCATGGTACTTTATCACAGCAATAGTAACTCTAAGACAATGATCTTCAGAAGAAATAAAATATATCATATGCACAAGATACTGTGGGGCCGTGAAGGGATGGCTTGGTTTCTGGTGTGGCACAGGCCTCGAACCTCGAACCCCTACCCCAATGGGGCAACTGGCAGGTGTTTGGCCACACCCTCAGACCCCAAGCTCCTGACACCCATTGACCTGTGCCTTAAAGTCACACAGGGCAAGGCAGCCCCTCCCAAAGAGGTATCACCTAACACAGGTAGAGGGCGTGACTACAGGCTTCAGCCTCAAGAGATTTCCATATTAATGAGATACCTAAAGGCCAGAGGGCGTAGCTAATTATGTATTCCTTTCCCAGACCCTCCCCGCTCCTCCCTCACTATTTAAGTCAGGTCCCCCGACTTAAGAGGGGTGTGCACATCCAGATTCAACTATCGTCCGCTATGGAAATAAAGCCGGTTTGGAATCATGGACTTCCTCGTGTCATTGGGGCCTGCCAACATAAAAGGTTTCTCTGCGGTTTCAGCTGGGGGTGGGGCATCTTCAAGCAAGCCGTCTTTCAGCTAAGTGAGTAACCAGAGAATCCTTTCCTGCAGGGCGCAGCCAGAGCTCCCCTCATCCCTCCTTTCTCTCAGCGCAGGCCGGTCACATGCCTGGAAACCCCAGAACCCCAGAAGAGCAGCCAATCCGTCCCGGCCGCCTCCTGGCCTGGGGATCCCCACCCTAGAGCCCTGGGCTTCCCATGGAACCTCAGACTGAGTGAGGGACTCGCCACGGCCGGCCGGGGAGCAGCACCCACCTGGTACCCTGTGCAGAACCTACTCAGTGGAACTTTCTGCAGTCGCTTCTGCTGCCCAGAGTCGCGGTCCCAGCTGACTGGGGCAGCAGACCTGCGGGAATCACAACCACCCAACAAGATTCAAGAACCCATGTATGCGTGACCACGTACTGAGCTAATCATTCCCTGCAAGATACTATGTAATAAGCAATTGATTTTAGTTGTGCTTATTATAACAAATACTTTATAATTCCTTTTTTAAATGTGTATATTTTCTAACTTAATGGTAATTAGTAATAATATAATTTTACAACATTCTTTGGAATTGCACTAACTTAAACTGATGACTATTACTAGCTACGAGTAAAGATATAAATGATCCCAGTGAGTTATTTGTGTAATACTACTTACCATAGTCACCTGACACACTATGAACTCAGTAACTGGATGTAGTAAATTACTAGGAAATAGGTCTGTATGTAATAAGCATTCTTTTTTTTTTGGTTTGGTTTTTCGAGACAGGGTTTCTCTGTGTAGCCCTGGCTGTCCTGGAACTCACTCTGTAGACCAGGCTAGCCTCGAACTCTCGAACTCAGAAATCCGCCTGCCTCTGCCTCCCAAGTGCTGGGATTAAAGGCGTGCGCCACCACCGCCCGGCTGTAATAAGCATTCTTTTTTTTTTTTTTTAATTTTTTTATTGGATGTTTTATTTACATTTCATATGTTGTCCCCTTACCCCATCCCCCACCCACCCAGGAACCCCCAATCCCCTCACACCTCCTCCTTCTTCTTTGTGGATGTAACCTCTATCTACCCCCCCACTCCCACCTCCCCACCCTCAAAACTCCCACCCCCTGGGGCGTCCAGCCTTCATGAGGTCAAGGATCTCATCTTCCACCTGTGCCCAGCAGGGCCCTTCACTCTTATATATTCAGCTAAGGCCCTGGATCCCTCCATAAGTGCATTCTTAAGAAGCACAAAAGAATAAAACAGTAGGGGTTGATGGTGAAAGAGGTAAGAGCTTAGAACAAATATAGTAAAACATCATTTTTACCTTAAAGACAGTTAATAATGTAAATAAATGTTTCTCCTCACACTGCTTCCCAAGAAAAATGGAGTAACTAGTGACAGGAGCTCACTCACAGTCTACAGATTTTCTCAAGTGGATATTCAATAGTCACTGTGTTAATTAATAGACTCTTAAGTAGTCGATCGTGAATTGCAAAGGTGCAGCATGGCCACAGTCCAGAACTGGTGGGACGAGCCTGTCATCTAGTTCTCTTCTGCCCTTCAGTTTACAGTCTCAAAATGTCTACAGTTGATTTCTAGAAGTTAAATAAATTCTAATATCCAGTCTAAGGTTTCTGATACCTTGTTTTTTTTTGTTTTTGTTTTTTTTTTTTTCGAGACAGGGTTTCTCTGTATAGCCCTGGCTGTCCTGGAACTCACTCTGTAGACCAGGCTGGCCTCGAACTCAGAAATCCGCCTGCCTCTGCCTCACAAGTGCTGGGATTATAGGGTGCTCCACCACCGCCCGGCTCTGATACCCTTTTAATGCAAGTGCCAAATTTAATTTTAAATAACTGACAATTCAGTATTTTTGAAAAGTTTACGATTATGGCATTTATGTGTCCCAACAAGGACTTTGGAGAGGAAAAGCCAAGAATCTGTTTGCATTATTTAAAAAACTTCTTTTGTAATTAAAATGTGTGACTAGCAAGTCTTAAGAACTATTGAAAAGAATGCCTACAGTCTAGACTTAAAAACAAAAACAAAACAAAAACCAACAGCAACAAAAAAAAACAAAAAGATACCTTGATCTGCTGTCTCCGCAGCATAGCAAGCTCTCGCATGTCTCGGAATGGCTGAAGTAGATACTGGTAGAGTTCAGTTGTAGCCTCTGCAAGGCTGCTGTAGGCTTCGTCCTCCATCTGATACAAGTCCAAAAGCTCCACCATGCTTTCTATAGTCTTGTGCTTGTCCAAGAGCTGTGAACAAGAAAGTTTCAATACTAAGAAAACTAAATACAGTAACTGATAATACTATACCTGCTTTTGAGCGAGCCAGAATCACGAAGGAAGTAAACACAGCTTGTACGTCATCACTCATGTCTATGCTTCAAGTGTCTCACATTATAAGACCACAACCTGATTCATTAGAGAGAAAGGAATACTGCCTGCCTGCCTTTAAGCTGTCATCTAGTCCATGTCCTCAATCACACAATGAAACAAAGCCAAAAACACTCCGTCACTGTGCTGGTTGGCTGTCGGCAAACCTAACACACATCTGGAAGAAGGAATCTCAACTGAGGACTGTCTGCCATTGGGATAGCCTACGGGCTTTTCATGGGGTATTTTCTTGATTACTAACTGATGCAGAAGAGTCCTGCCCACTGGGGGTGGTGACATCCCTAGACAGATGGGCCTGGGTTATATAAGGAAGCTGAGTGGAAGCTATAGAGAAGTTTAGTGACATCCTCATCTATATAGTGAATGGGAAAGCAACCTCAGCTATATAAGATTCCATCTCAAAAACTACCGCCACCAGCATGTGACAGAAACAGACAGACAGACAGACAGACAGACACACACACACACACACACACACACACACACACACACAAGCCTACTACCTCCCAAGCTTATCAAGACATCTTAGGATATTTAAAAAAAAAAAAGATTTTTGGTTTTTCGAGACAGGGTTTCTCTGTATAGCCCTGGCTGTCCTGGAACTCACTCTGTAGACCAGGCTGGCCTCGAACTCAGAAATCCGCCTGCCTCTGCCTCCCAAGTGCTAGGATTAAAGGCATGCGCCACCACCAACCGGAAAAAAAAAAATCTTAAAAACTGAACAGAACTAGTATACTGAGTATGGAGTTTTTTGGTTTTGGTTTTTGTTTGTTTGTTTGTTTGTTTTACCACAACGAAATTATAATAACTAGAAATTTCTCAAAAAAGCTGTAAGAGACAGAAGACATGACTCAGCACGTTTGTACTTCCAAAGGACCCAGGTCTGATTCACAGCACCCACATGGTGATTCAACAACTGTAACTCCAGTGACAGGGGTGTCTACACCTCTTCTGGCCTCCAGGGCCTCTCCAGGCATGCACACATGGTACACAGTCATACATTCAGGAAAACACCCACACATATAAGAAACAAGTAACTTTTTTAAAATCTGAAAAGAACATAGAGATATATCAAAAGAATCACAAGAAATGCAAAAAAAAATTTTTAAACTGATTATTTTATTTATTGTATGCATGAGAATGGTTCAAACTCTACATGCTAAATTGAAACATTTTTATAGGCTGTATTTCTCATTATATATGAAAAATATACTATATACTTTTCACTATTAAACAAGCTGAAAATTAATCGTCTTCTCAGACCCATCAGAGAACTGATGGGTCATGAGACAGGCTGCTATCCTGACAGGCAGGTATAACTTTCTGAAGAGAGAAATCAAGAGCAGAAGGAGCCCGTGTGAGGAGAACTGGAGTTTTATGTCCAAGCACACACATCCCCAGCTGCTCCAGAGGCAAGCAGGGTCATTGCTTAGGCCTAAAATTTCAAGGCCAGCCTGGGTACCTGTTCTCTCAGAAACAACAAAAACTAAGTAAATATGGAAAAAGAAAGGAGGAGAAGAGGAAGGAGGAAGAGGCAAGGAGGGCTGAAGAGCAGGCAAGCTCACTTTCTGGGAACCAAGAACAGGATGAGAAAACCTAAACTGAGTTGGTGAAATGTGGCCATCTCACTGTAGACAAATTTGAGAGTCACAGTGCTAGACACTCTGGACTGGGAATATGGTGGGATACTTGTCTTGACATATCCCAGGCCTCAGCCGGGTTCATACCTAATACCACAGAGGAAGAACGAGGCCCTATCCTAACTTTTGTGTTTTACTTTCTGGATGAGAATGATTCTTGCCTAAATTAGGGTTTTACTTCTGTGAACAGACACCATGACCAAGGCAACTCTTATAAGGACAGCATTTAATTGGGGCTGGCTTTCAGGTTCAGAGGTTCAGTCCAATACATCATGGTAGGAGCATGGCAGTGTCCAGGCAGGCATGGTACAGGAGGAGCTGAGAGTTCTGGAGGCCCCTAGGAGACTGGCTCTCAACATGGTTAGGAGGGTCTTATTGCTACACCCCTAACCCCACAGTGACACACTTTCATCAACAAGGCCAAATCTCCTAATAGTGCCACTCCCTGGGCCAAGCATATTCAAACCACTATAGTTCTCATATTAGAAATCCCCCAAAAAATCCCTTCTGATTCTAGAAGAGTAAATTCTGGATAGAATTCTGTGACATTCTGTTCTTAACAAGGCCTTTCTTCAAGATAACCATTTTACCAGAGCCTAAACTACTAGAGTATACCAGAACCTTACTTATCTACAAGAAGAGACATAGATCCAACTCATAGCCTCCCTTGCCTTTGTCACAGGATGAGGGGATAAGGTTAAACACTGAGAAGCATTTGTCAAACAACAAACCAAAGGCCCAGCCTATATGACTGACACCTCAGTGTCACACAGAACACTTCCCCTGTACTTCCTCTCCATCTAGTACTTTGCCATCATACTAATAGAGTCTCCTATGACAACAAAGAATCTACTGACTAAAGGATACACCTCAACAAAGTCTCTAGGAAAATTCAAAGACAACATGAAGACTATCAAAACAAAATTTTAACCCTTTTACCTAGAATAACAGTCTTAATTCCTAAGTCCAGTGGTTCTCAACCTTCCTAATGCTGTGACCCTTTAATACAGTTCCTCATGTTGTGGTGACCACCAACCATAAAATTATTTTAGTTGCTATTTCATAACTGTTATTTTGCTACTATTATAAATGGTAATATAGATGGGCAGTGGTGGCACACGCCTTTAATCCCAGCACTTGGGAGGCAGAGGCTTGAAGTCTCCTGGATAAATACATTAATCAAACTCACAGAAAATTTAAAATTGCAATGTGATCACCCTGTAGAAGAGGTTCATCACTTACAAACAAACTTGCAGATTCATGCATCAGGAAGGCCATAAGGGATTCTATGCACAAAGGGAAGCAAGCTGTTCCTTTCAAATATCCTAGGTTTCAAAGAATCATTAAGGAATTATTTCCACACACAAGAGATCTTAGCTTTGGTGTAATGTCACACCCACAATTCTAGCACTTGGAAGGCAGATGTACTAAGATGTACCTACCTACCCGGTCAAACAACAAAACAAAACAACAACAACAAAACACAAACAAACAAAAACCTCTAAAAAAACGATCTTAACCTGTGTGTGAACATATACAAAGAAGATTGAGTGGGATTACATCAAAAGGACACAGTTGGCAAGCATCGTTAAGACACCAGAAGGCGCCTGGCGGTGGGTGGCGCGAACCTGTAATCCCAGCACTTGGGAGGCAGAGACAGGCGGATTTCTGAGTTCGAGGCCAGCCTGCTCTACAGAGTGAGTTCCAGGACAGCCAGGGCTATACAGAGAAACCCTGTCTTAAAAACAAACAAACAAACAGACACTGGAAGGCTTAGCATACAATTAGCAAACTGGAAAGAAGCTAGGGGAGCACAGTAAGAGATCCTAGAAGTACTAGCAGGCCATGATGGCCCCGAGTTACACGAGTAGCAAGAGACAGATGAGCTCACAGGCTCCTTGTATCTGTCAATGAAGTTGCTGCTGACTGTCAAAACTTTTTAGGTATCAATTTTAGATATAAACTTGGAGCTGAAGAGACAGCTAAGCAGTTAAAAGCTCTGGCTCCCTCTTCCAAAGAAGGAAGGTTCAATACCCACCACCCTGTGGCAGCTCAGAACCATCTGTAACCAGTTCCAAAGACCTGGTGTCCTCTCTGGTCTCCAAGGGCATCAGGCACAAAAGTAGTACACAAACATGCAGGAAAAACATAACATTTTAAAAAAGCAATAGAATTTAGTGATTAGACTAGACTTTCATGTTTTAGCATTAAGGACAACTACTAGATTTCTGACTACTCAGTTTCTGATGTGTACTAAGACTAAAGACAGGAACAAAGAACTATTTTTAGCCAGGTGGTAGTGGTACACACCTTTTAATCCCAGCACTCACTAGGCAGAGGAAGGCAGATGTCTGTAATTGAAGCCAGCCTGATTTACAGTGAATTCCAGAGAAACCCTGTATCAAGCAAAAAGAAGGAGGGAGGAAGAGGAGAAGGAGGAGGAAGAAGAGGAGGAGGAGAATTAAAGATGACTACTAGGTTTCTGACTACTAGATTTCTCAAGTGTGCTGAACCTGGAACAAATGGCAATGCTTTAAGAGTAGATCATAGACAAAGGCAATGCTTCAAAACAGTAGGATAAGTGTTGAGGTTTGGTCTGTTGCTAAATTCTGTACCCTAAGGGAAGGTCTAGGCCTATGAGTAAATTCTCACATTTACTGCAAACCTTGTTCCTTGATTTAAAACTTTGGTTAAATAAAACAGGCTACAACCAATTACTAGAGGTATTAGAGGTAGGCAGATTTTGAGTTACCTGGGTAGGGGTGGAGAGAAAGAAAGGAGAGACCAGGTAGAGAAGGAGGAAGAATGAGAAGAGAGGAAGAAGAAGCCACCATGAGAGGAGATGGACCATGAGCATGTGGCCAGGAGAAATAGCAAGTATCTGGGGCACACTGCTAGGGAGGTAGCCAGGCCAGCAGTTAGAATAGTAGATTAGGGGTTCCTCCCCGCCCCAGTAATTGTCAAAGCCAAGAAAAATTAACCATAGTATGAGTCTCATTTATTTATAAGCTAGTGGGGGATAAGCTTAAATTGGTTATACTACAGATAAATCTTGTAGGGGTTACAAATATTCAAGGTAGTCCTCACACCCTCAAAAAGACTAGTTAAAACAATCTAACGAGCTCTTATGGAAGCTGCTGACAGTAAAGGCAGTGAATGTTTTAGAGCAGTAGTTCTCAACTCTAACAGGGCAGCTCTTTAATAAAGTTCCTCGTGTTG